TAACATACCTCATAGGGTAGTTGTGTGGATCATACGGGGGAGATGAGAATGATGTCAGCTGCTTTGGTTACCACTGCAGGGAAAGGCTGCCCTTTCCCTAGGCAGAGGCTGGATGTGTGTGTGTGTAAAACTTAAGACAGACAGGCAGATAAAGGTTGGCTGATGGTTGCCAACTCCAGGGTGGAACTCCAGGACATAGGGTTGCCAACTCCAGGTTGGAAACTTCCAGGATATTTTAGGGATGAAGCCTGCTGAGGGTGGGGTCTGAGGAGGAGGAGGAAGAGGGGGACCTCAGACAGATACAATGCCATACTGCCCACACTCCAGACAAGCTGTTGCCAGTCTCCAGGTGACAGCTGGAGAGCTCTTAAAGCTTTGGTGCTCATTCAAACTGTTGCAATTTATCGACAGAGTAGTGTTTCGGAAAATCTTTAGGAATTGTTTGGTGCATTTACGATGGGGCTCCTGGGGAACTATTGTTGCCAATCTTGGCCCAGCAGCCATCAAACCATTCTCTTCAACCCCCTGCTGTGCAGCTGACTTTCCCCTAGGGTTGCCAATCTCCAGGTGGGACCTGGAGATCTCCCACTGTTACAATTGATCTCCAGATGACAGAGATCAGTTCCCCTGGAGAAAATGGCTGCTTTGGAGGGTAGACCCTATGACATTATACCTGCTGAGTCCTTCGCCCCCCCCCCGCCCCATGCTGCCCTCTACAGAATCCACCCCCCAAACCTCCAGGTATTTCCCTCCTTAGAGCTGGCAACCCTACATTCCCCTCAGTGCCTGTTGGTAGGCAACTAAGCTTGGTCCTGTCACCTACTTTGGCCTTTGGGAGAAAACACATTGGGGCCAGTCCTGATAGGGTTGCCAACTCCAGATGGGAAATTCCTGGAGGTTTGAGGGATGGAGCCTGAAGAGGGTGAGGTTTGAGGAGGGGTGGGACCTCAGACAGGAACACTGCCATAGACTCCAGCCACCAAACCAATCAGTCCCACATAGGGAACCATTGTTGCCAATCTCCAGGTGAGGGCTGGAGAGCACTCAGAATTACAACTGCTCTGCAGAAGGGAGGGAAGAAGTCAGCGGAAGTCAAAGGGGCAGATAATGGTAGGTTGAGGGTTAGCTGGGAAGGAGATGGGGTTGCCAACTCCACCCTCCAAACCAGCCATTTTGTCCTGGGTAACAATTGCTGCCAATCTCCAGGTGAGGGCTACAGATCACTCACAATTACAACTGCTCTTCAGGTAGCAGAGATCAGTTCCTCTGGAGAAAACAGTGGACTCTGTCATTATACCCTGCTGAGGTCACCACAGCAAATTGACACTGTTTGCCCAAAGCCAGAGCACTGCCCCAGAGCCTCTTTCTAGATTCCGTTGTATTGTTTTCACAACGGGCTTTACTGCTAGTATATAATAATGACAAAAACTCAACAGCTGCTGATCACTTTCACACTGGAAAGTAGTTAGCGCCCAACCATGTTAAGGGACAGCAAGCTTAAAATGGGGCGGAGGGAAGAGGGGGGGGGGGGGGGGGGAGCAGTCACTTCTCCCCATCCAGACCATGACTGATACTTCTAAACATTTTGCCTCTAAAATAGTTACGGCCACTGCAACCGGCCTCCAGACACGACCCAAAGAACTGTGGGAAACCATTAACAGCTCAGCACGTAGTAGTTAAGTGCGCGGACTCTAATCTGGGAGAACCGGGTCTGATTCCCCACTCCTCCTCCACTTGCACCTGGCTGGATGACCTTGGGCAAGCCATAGTTCTGATAAGAGCTGTCCTTGGAAAAAGAGCCGTTTCTGTCAAGAGCTCTCTCAGCCCCACCCACCTCACAGGGTGTCTGTCTGTTGTGGGGAGGGGAAGGGAAAGGAGTTTGTCAGCCGCTCTGAGACTCCTTTGGGTAGTGAAGGGCCATGGGGTATACATCCAATCTCTTCTTCTTCTTCATGAAGGTCTATCAGTGGAACTGTTATCTTACAGCAGGCCGGAAACCTGCAACGGGATCAGCGGCAGATTTGGCCCCACTGCTCCCCCCCCACTCACTCCCTTCGAGGGCCTTG